TTTACACAAAACAAAGTAGATAAAGATAGAGAAAAAGAGAACGTTATGTAGTGCCCGAAGGGAAGGCCTGTCAATATAACCAGGTGTTGAGTTGGTTTTTGAAAGTGCCCAGCGAGGGGACCAGATGAATCTTGGGGGGGGACCGTGTTCCAGAGCCTGGGAGCCACTGCCGGGAAGGCCTGGTGTCTTGTTTTTTCTTTCCAGGCCTCCCTCAACGTTAGGCTACTCAGTCGCGCCTCCTGACTAGATCAAGTGATATGAGTAGATCTAGGTGGGAGGAGGCGTTCCACCAAGTATTGAGGTCCTAAACTGTTTAGGGCTTTGTATGTGATCATTATAACTTTGAAATCAATGCGGAATCAAATGGGCAGCCAATGCAATGCAGCCAGAGGGGGAGTAATATGTTGATGTTTCCTCACCCCACTAAAAGTCTGATCGCTGCATTCTGCACCATTTGGTGTTTCCACATTAATCTCAAAGGTAGCCCCACGTAGAGTGCATTGCAGTGGTGTAATCTCAAGATTACAAGTGCACGGACCAAGGTGGTACCAATGTCAAGAAAGGGACGCAGCCAGGCAATCCACCAAAGATGGAAATAGGTGGTGTAGACCACTGATGCCACCTGAGTTTCTAAGTGCTTAACTAAATAAGGGTTCTGCACATAATATGCAAACACTATGAAGAAAATATTTCAGGACTTAACTACACATTGCAATATTTCTATTTTTGCATTGTGGTTTTTTTCAGCCAGAAAGTGGGTGTGCCCAGAATTTAAAATAAACAACCTATTAGGGGATCATTTATTTTAAATTGATTCTGGGTATACTTTTTTAAAAGTCATACTCCATGTGTCATCACCTATGCCAGAATAAACAGTTTTGCGGGAGAGAGATTGCTAGTTTTGGATGCCAAGTACAATGGGTTTTGGTTTACAAGAAATCCTGCAGTCGGACATCTTCCTTCCCCCCCACCTCTTTCTATTTTAGCATGTATTGATCCAGTGCTATGCCATGTCAATACTGAACAGAAGCTGAATCTAGCATCATCTGTCTCAAGGCAGGCAAGCTTTGCCTTTAAAAAGTCATAAGGTACAGTTGAGGTGAATAATTAAGTTCCCAGTACAGAGGGGGAAAACAGGAAAACTGAGACCGAGAGAGTACCAACATACAACGTACAGTAGCTTACAACCAGACTAAAATTATGCACTGAAGATGCACACACCCACACAAAAAACACGTAGCATTAAACTGATTTTTAAACACCAGAACCAGCTCCCAATTTAATTCAACAGTGTAGCTGCATCATTAGTCTCGCATGGAGGCAAGACTTCTTATGGAGCTTAGATCTTGTCTCAGTCAAAATCTTAACCAACTGCAGGATTTTCCTCATACTGTATATCTAGAAAGAGCAAATTGGTTGAATTAGGTGTATCCTTGAACATTTTGTGACCATAATAAAATACAACATCTTCCCATCAACACAGCAACATAGATTTTCAATATTCTTTACAGTGCAAAAGCCAAGAGTTGCACTCTGTTATTTTTAAATATATCTCTGAATATAGTTACCTTTGTAGTTAACTTTGAAGCCAATTGAACCCACACTTTCATCAGTTTGAAGGTGCAGCCACATCTGATTGCTCATGCTGACAATTAAATCTGGCACGAAGCTTCCCGTTAACCTAATGATAAACAAAATAAAAATTCCATTAGCTGGAAATTGACTTAAAATTAAAAGATATTTAAAAACCAAGTAAAAGTCCTTGATTACAGCACTCTCAGGACTAGAACATCGTAGCAGTGATGGCACTTTAAAAAATAATAAAACTCATCAGGAGAGATAAAGCCAGATGAAAATGTTTAAGTTCTGTATCACTCAAAAATACCATGAGATAATTTTTATGCCATTCGTGCAGTTGACACAGCTAAAAGAAAAGCTCCCCCCCGGGGGAGGGAACACCTGATTTTAATATTGAAACTGTAATATCTTGATTATGACCGCAATTTAGCCCTCTCCCGAGAGCTACAGGATGCATGATGGCTCAAACTAGAACCAGACCTGTAGACACTGGTCCCAGTTCCAGATCACCCTATATGCCACGTTTGCCCTTCAGTTATTTGACCTGTCTGAATTGCAAAGTCTACAGGTGAGTCTATTGTTTAATCTAGAGCATCAGGAGCATTGTGTATGACCCACACATGCTTCATAACATGTGAAATTATCCTACAGAAGTCTCAAAAACTCATTTAATTTGTGCCAAGATGTTATCCAACAACTGTTCCAAGCATATTGCACACAGAGCTGTATTAGCCCAAGGTCATGGCCCTAGGCTTTCAGATATTTCGGGGGCCCTCCAGTATTTTAATATTTCACCCCACTACAGCCCACAGCCTGACTCTAGTCAATTGATGGGTCCCTAGTCCCTGTGGGGGCCCCAGGTTTCAACCTAGTCAGCCTTATGACTAATACAGCCCAGACTGCACATGTCTATTCCGACTATATCAGTTATGCCACAAAATTTGCTTCAAGCAGAAACAGCCACTTGTTTCCTCATGCCCTTGAAGTTTGGTGTCACTCCTGTTTTTCTTAAGACTGATTTGTGTGCAGAATGGGATGAGTGGACAGTAAGGTAGGATGTAACCATGTAAAGGGGATACAGAAGAATTCCCTTGGAATAAATGGCTTGGAT